TCATCAGGAAAAGTGATATTGCACCAAGCACTGTTGCTCTCTTCTGAATCAGACTGCTTGTTAGAACATTGGCTTTGATTGGTCTACTGAAACAAAGAGTTCTGCCACCCTCTAAGTCATGGATATGAGTCTCATTTTATTCAGGATTGCATCTTAAAGGCACTTGGGACAGTGCTGGGAAACAAAATATGCCAAGCTTCATGGAAAACTTGGAGCTCTCTCTTTGCCTAGACCATAGCAGAACTTGCCCTGTGTTCTAAATTCTGTCTCTAAGGCAAACAAAACAGAGGTGATCCACTACAACCAAATTAATCCAGCAAGCTAAGGGTCAAATGACTGCGAATACCTCCAAATCCTCCAGGAGGTAAATTTGCTAAATAATGTAAATTTCTGTCATTTTTACTTTCAAGGTGAATGAAGACTTGGTGAAAGCATTACCTCTGGAAAGGATGGCTTGAAACCTCAACAGAAGGGATGGAAGTTAGGCAATCAGCTTGGCTATATTTGCTTAAAAATTAATAATTCACTAAAACTGTTTAACTTAGAGGGATCTAGACACAGGTTATTTTTTATTTAGCAACCTAGTATTAGCAGGAATTGGATTAGCTATCATAAAAATCAGCTCGAAGACAGTAGAAATGAAAAGATTGGAAAAATAAGTTTTGAGAGTAGGATTGCTCTTAATATTTGTGGGGGTTGAGGTAAAAGTACAAATGGAAAACCTCATTATCTGCATCCTGTCCCTTTTATATCTAGCATCATAAGTAGCCTCTTGCACTCCAGTCTCCATTCACTAATTCCATCCACTCACCTCATGTCCACTTCTCTACTCTAGGTTTGTGTATGTTGACCATGTGGTCTGCCCTTGAGGATAGACCTAGAATGAGGTTAGTGCAGGCCGTAGAAGGACTGTTTAGGCAAGAAATTTAGGAGTTCTAGAAAACAGAAGGATCATCTATGGGGCAAAGGGAGTACAGACAGCCTTAGTTTCATCAGCTCCTCCCCTCTGTGAAAGGGCACAGATGGAAGAGGTCCTAAAGTAGTTCCAAATTGGGGAGGCCAGGACAGAGACCCCAGTTGCTATGGTCAGAGGGTTGTGTCATGTGGGGCCATAAGCTAACTGCCTTCACATGTGAGAGACTCTCATAGTTTGGTGGAAGGGATTAGTGTGGCTAGGGAGAAGAATGGGAAATTTGAGCCAGGACACAGTTTGGCCTAGTAATTTGAAGTTATATAACAAAAGATTTTAGCTAGCAGCAAGGAAAAACTTTATCCTTAGACCAAGCTGCAGCGAAATGCAATGAACCATGTCTAAGAATACCTAAAGTTGTGAGGCAGAATTGGAAGAGAAACCAGGTAACAATCTGCTATGGGTTATACAGATTTTTGCACTAGTTAAATGTGAAGTAGATGAGAGTTTTGTAAAGCTAAACTCCATTGTGACCCTAATAATTTAGTGGAGCTGTATTGGAGAACCATGCATGGGGTGAGGTGGGCAGTGCTGAGGAAGTTGGGAGGTAGAGACAGGACTGAGTTATGTTTAATGTGTTGCACAGTATGATTTTATTACAAGAGTTCTTTGCCTTCAAAAGTCTTGAAAACTACTACACAATATAATCTCTGAAGTTCTTTCCAACTCTAGTATTCAATGAGTTAAAAAACTAGAAGTTTTCCAGGCACGGTGGCTGACACCTGTAATCTCAGCACTTAGGGAGGCCGAGGCAGGCAGATCACCTGAGGTCAGGAGTTCGAGATCAGCCTGCCTAACATGGTGAAACCCTGTCTACACTAAAAATACAAAAATTAGCCAGGTGTGATGGCAGGTGCCTATAATCCCAGCTACTCAGGAGGTAGAGGCAAGAGAATCACTTGAACGTGGGAGGCGGAGGATGCAGTGAGCCAAGATGGTGCCACTGCACTCCAGCCTGGGTGAAAGAGTGAGACTCTGTCTCAAAAAATAAAAATAAAAATAAAAATCTAGAAGTAGATTATATCATGGAAAAATGTCAAAGATAATGAGAAATCAAACTAAATGAAAAATATTAACTATTAAAAATGTGAGCAATTTTTCATCAAACATGCCAGCCCAAAATGCTCAAAATGTGTAGACCAAGATTTCGAGATATATTTTATGTGATATATGATTTTATTTTTAGCTAGTTTTTTAATTAGGAAAATAATACATGTGAATGGTTTAAAAAATTACATTTTGAGTATAAGTTGGAAACTACATGTAAGCTTTGTTTTCCTGTCCTTGTATCAAATTCAACTATCTACATCTATATTGGCATCTTTTGTATAGCTGTCCAGAAATTTTCGGTATATATCCAAGCATGTGCTGTGTATCTTTTTTGAATTAAAAATTTAATTAAATATTAGAAAAGATGTATAACATATGTAAGTTTTAAATAGTAACAATAAAGTAAATGCATAATACCCACCCCCTTGGCTAAGGAATAGAACACATCTACCACCTTTGAAGACCCCTGCATGTCTCTTCTTGATGGCATTTATCTCCCTCTCTAACACCTGGTAAGAAACACTATCTTCATTTCAGGGTTCATCAGTTCCATTGATTTCTTTACAAGTAGTTTTGCCCCATAAGAATGTCCATTTAAATTTTATATTTATTATTTTAAATTTTACATATGAAATTCTATTTTATTCATTATTTGACTTATTTTATTTTTATACTGAATTTCATTGATGTTTTCCTCTTTAATTCCACTGTCTCTCCTTTTTACAAGTTTGTATGTAGCCCGTTTCTATTATTTTAGTGTTTATTGTAGATATTTTAATATATATATTTAACTATGTCTAAATTTCATACATATCTTAAGCTTCATAATAAAACAAAAACTTTAAAATGTTTTGAGTTCAATTACTCACCTTCCAACTTTTTTTATATTGGAGCTTTATTTTCATTTTAATCCCACAATATAGACATTTATAATGTTGTTTTATACATGTCTTGCTTAGATTGATCCATATTTTTACCATTTTTGTTTACCATTTCGTCTTTCATCAATTCCTTCTGTAGTCATTTTTGTACAATTTTCCTTCTGAACTACATCTTTCACATGTTCTTTTAGAAAGGGTTGGTTGGTCTTTAACTTTTTTGGGGTTTAGTTTCTCACAAATGTCTTTCTCTCAAAATTCAAATTTTGAACTAATCCTTGAAAGGCACTTCCACTGGATATATATTTCCAAGATGACAGGTTTGCTTTAATCGGTACTTTGAAGATATAGTCTTTTATTGTTTGATTTATATAATTACAACTGGGCAGTCACTTCATCTTTGGCGTTCAACAGTTTTACTTTGATCTATTTTAGAGGGGATTTCTTTTTAGTTATTATACATGGAATTTATCATAATTCTGAAACTGATGATTTACCTATTTTACACATTCCAGAAAGTTGTTAGATATGTTTGAATATCACTTTTCCTTCATTTTCTCTATTATTTCCTAAACATCTTAAACAGTCTTACTTAAAAGTTGTCTTTATCTTCCAAATGTCCATCTCTTTTTCTCTCTGTGATGCATTCTATGCATTCTTTCAGATCTCCATCTTAATGTACTAATAACTCTCTTCATCTATGTCTATTTTGTATTTATTTTATCCATTCATTTTAAAATTTCAATATTTTTATTTTTATTTATTGAAATGCTATCTGGTTATGTTTCAAATCCCTTTTGTCATATTTTATACACTCTTTTTTTGATAACACTTTCAAAACACCTTTATTTGTTTGAACATACTCAGTGTATAATTTTCTAGTTCCTTTAGGAGCCAAATTTGCTCTCTGTTATTTCTGTGGACTAATGCATATGATGACCGATTTTTTGTTTGTTGGTGATTTTTGATTGTGAACTAATTTATGGGAAATGTGTCATGAGACCTGGATTTAAGCTGCATTCCTCCAGAGAAAATTTGGCTTTGCCTATACTAGTTGCCTGGGATCAGTATGGAACTCAAAATAAATTATGCTCTTGAGATTTTTAAGAAAACTGATTGTTTGAATTTAGTCTGCAAACACACTGACTTGTTTCTAGTTACAGCTCTTCTAAGATTTCTTGTTGACTCTTTTGTGGGGTGATTTTTTGTTTTTTCAAATTCGCCCTTTTGCAAGACTGTAAACATTTGGATACACAGATTTAGGGAGAGGTTTCCTATTAAATATTTAAGCTTCAACAGAATCCATTCTTTGTCTCTGATCATCTGCAGCTATCAGTTCTATCAGAATTAAAGCTCAAGAATACCAGATATGGATAACTAGTGGTATTAGAACTCACTTCCTTTTCTGGATTCCTCATTATCTCTGGTTCTTTAATGTCTGGCAATTTTGCTTATTTCCTCTCAACTTAGCATACACATACATGCACACACACACACAGTCTCACACACACACTCACATATATGTGTGTGTGTATGTATATACATAATTATTATAGCTAGCATTATTTTGTTATTCCTAATAGAAAAACTTTTCAGGTTTTGAGTTCACAATGCTTACAGAAATTAATGCTTACTGTTTAAGAGTTTATAACAGTCTTTCATACTTCTATATAAGCTTTTTAATTTAAAAATGTATTCAGCAATCTTCTTATATTAACATGTACTTTGTATCATGTTTTGAATGGCTGTATAATATTAAATACTACGAATGAAATATCATTTATTTAACAAGTCCCCTACTGATGGATATTTAAGTTGTTTTCAGTTTCTTGTTGTTACAAAAATAAAGTCAACATATATATACACACACACACATATAAGTTCCATATATATGGTTCCAACAGCTAGATTAAATTTATAGAATTAGAATTGCTAAATCAAAGAATATAGTACTTAAACTTTGATGTTTATTTCTAATTTGCTTTTCAGAGTTTGCAACAACTAATCTGAGAGAGAAAAAGAAAATCTATGCCTGTATCCCCATTGCCTTATCTACATTGGGTTTTATGAGCACATTATTGTTAATTTGAGGAATAGTTTGTTTAACTTTATTCTCCATTTATTCCATAGAGATAAAATGTATTATGAAAACATGAATGGAGTGCTTTTAAAAGACATTTTTCATGGCAAGTGAGGAATTGATTTGAGCCAATCTTTCTCGTATTCGACTGTGAAATATATAATCCAATATAACAGCAATGTCATTAGATCTCTCATCTGACTGTGAGTGTCCTAATTGTTCAGAGCATCCTCAGAATGAGTCTGATTGGAACCCCTATTCCCATGAGAGTGGTAATGGCTCTTTACATTCAAGATCAAGGAAGAAATCCATGCTTTCTTCTAGCATGCAGTACTTTCCTTCTCAGTGTTGTCCCACCAAGCCAGAGAGTGATAACAAAGAAGACTCAGCAGTTCTTCCCTCAGATGAGGAAAGCTATGTGGGTTCTTCTCAAAACAATCATCCCATTTGGAGCCTTGAGGATATCAAAAGGAAAATCAAGCCATTGAGAGAGCGGACTATCCAAGAGTTACTGAGAGAGTTTGGGGATAGTGGGAAGTTCCAGCCAAACTCCATGTCCCTGAGCTACTTTAGAGATCAGGTGGTTATGAAGTTCAGAAGAGCTCTGTATTATTCTGGAATTTGGGTGACGCATGTTCGAGGCCACAAACCTCATAAGCACTTTACGGCTAATTATTTTAAAAGAAACCCTGGTTGCCTACACCGGCTGGTTCCATGGCTGAAACGGGAACTAACAGCTGTTTATGGAAATTATGGCTACACAGTGAAGAACATCCTAACCACCATCCTCCATCACATGACAGAATATGACTTGGACAGTGAGTTCTTCATTCACCTCCTGGAACCTTATCTCTTACAACACACCCACCATTTCCTACATGAGTTTATTAGTTTTGTTCATTCACCTTACAACATGGACACCTATGACCAGCGAGCCATCTATCAATGCTCTGCTGCTTCACCATATGTAAACAAGAAGCCCCTTGTGTCAGCTCTTGTTTCACCTCCGCCTAAGGATCACACTCTACTGATATCTCAACATAATACAAAGCAGTCTAAAAACACCCAAGGTCAATGGGATAAAGAGGAGAGGCCCCTGTCAGGCTTGAAACAGTTTCCAAATGGTAACTTTTCCTTGAAGAAATCTGAAATCCCACCAGTCTATGATGAAACAGTAAGCAAAATCTATGGTGGAATCAAAGACAAAGCAGAATCAGGTGACCACAAAAGCACCATTTCTATGAATAATATACTCCAGAAGTGGGCTACTCCAAGGGAAAGGTGCCCAGGCTTACTGAATTGCAAAAAAAAAGTTCAAGAGAAAAAGACAGAAGGGATAAAGTTGTTTCCTGATCATGTCCACGATCTGGGAAAGAGTGACTCAACCGTACACACCTTCAGTACCCCCGCAATTTCTAATCAGGTTCATCCACAGAAATATAGTTTGAGAGAAAGAAAGGGTTTGAGCCTTGGCCAGAAGATAAACTTTCAGAAGAAAGAAGAAGAAAATAACAAATACTCAGATCCTTCACCAAAGACCATTCAAAGACTGTCCAGAGAAAGATCCTTGAAAAGTTGCAAATCCAGAGAGAGAGATCCCTCTTGGAGTTGCATTTCAGAAAATGCCTTTTCTCCTGAGAGAGATGGCAGGAAACTGAGTTCTTTTAGAAAAAAGAGGATGAAGTGTAGACAACTCTCCCAATCTGTAGAAATTGGTTCACACTCCAGGAGAAGAATCCAAAGACGATCAAGGTCCAATACTCACAGATCCAAATCCTGGTGTGTTGGATCTAGAAAGAGATCTGTAAGCAGAGAATCAAGTAATCTCTCTCTGAGAGGGAGTCACAGAAGTGAACACTTCACCCAGAATATATGCTGTGAGCCCTCAAAAGAAAAGCACACACATGGCAATGAATCAAACTATGGGAGGCCATCTTCAACCACAGTCCAATACGTGAAGCTTTCTTCAACTGCTGTGAAGAGACCCAAGTGTCCTTCTAAAAGTGAAGGTGCTTCCCAAGCAGGAAGACACGGTAACAGTCCCACATGCCTACATCTCCAGGAACACAGATCCCCAAGTAAACAGGAGATAAAGCAAAAAACAACATTTCCTAGAACTGGAAGAACCAGAGCAGCTAGGCACAGAAAAACCAAATGCCATTATTCAGACATACACATCACAGAGGATGTCAATGATAAACTGGTCAATCTGGATGATATAAGACAAATGAGTGGTCTGAGTGTGCACCCTCCTGCAGGAGGCAAATCCACCAAAAACAGCATTTGAATCTTCAGAATATTCACTGGGTCAAGAAACAATACAAAAGAAACGTACTATCAGAAACATAGGTGCAAATTGTTTTAAAAGGCAAATCAGTCTACTAAACTAGCCACCAAGCTAGTTATTCATACTTTCAAAGAGTATGAATATAATCTAAAAACATTATTGAAAAGATTTATCCATCACTTTATAACTGAAAGTAAAAGCCTGGTTATTACATTCAAAGTTGACTTTGGAGACAAATGCAAATCATTAAATTGGTCATATATGTAAATATTTCTCCCTACATTTTTTCTTATGAAATCAATTATTAAAATATTTGACTTATTTTTTTGCTTCTAGATTTAACTGTAAAGATTGACTGCTCAAAGTTCCAAACACCCTGAAGATTATACTAACAATAAAAGTATAAGTTTCCTAACACAAGTTATTCATAAGTATGTTACTAAACACATGTGTTATTGTATTAGTTTGTTCTCACACTGCTATAAAGAACTGCTTGAGACTGGATAATTTATCCAAGAAAGAGGTTTAATTGACTCACAATTCAGCATGCCTGGGGAGGCCTCAGGAAACTTGCAATCATGGCGGAAGGGGAAGCAAAAACATCTTTCTTCACACGGCAGCAGGAGAGAGAAGTGCAGAGCAAAGGTGGAGAATGCCCCTTGTAAAACCATCAGATCTCATGAGAACTCACTATCATGAGAACAGCATGGGGACACTGCCACCATAATCCATTTACCTCCCACAAGGTTCCTCCCCCAACATGTGGGAATTACAATTTGGATTACAATTCAAGATAAAATTTGGATGGGGACACAGAGCCAAACCATATCAGTTATTTAAAAAATAATAATATCTATTGAGGTCTATTAGGTTTTAGACCTAATGCATTTTTAGTCCCTGGAAAATAAAGGCAGGGTCACTGTCTTAAGGTATAGGTATTGTCTTAAAGTATTTCACAGCCTAGTTACCAAAATAGATGTAAATAAATAGGTAAAAATGAGCATCTATGGAATTTTTGGCACACTTTTTACTATCACCCTCTCTTGAAAACTGTACCTCCACATGCCCTGACATCCAGATGTCTTCATTAGATACCATTTTTTTTCTTTTAGATAACTCTGATTCTCCATCTATAGTACCATGGCACAATGATGGTGGCTACTTAAACCAAGCTAATCAGTATTTTGCCCCTCTGGCTGCACAATATAGTATTTCCCTGGTATTTCCCAAACTAGTTCTGAACAAAAGGGTCATTCTTTTTCCCTGTCAGCATATGGTGAGAAATTTAAAGTTTAGATATTAAGTTGGTGTAAAAGTAATTGCAGTTTTTGCCACTAAAAGTAATGACAAAAATTACTTTTGCACCAACCTAATACTATCAAGAGCTGTATTTCTCAGTATGAGAAAGTCAGTTTGAGGTAAGACAGGAGAAAGCTAACAGAGTAAAGTGAGATAAGTCAGGTGAAGAAGTACGACCTGGATCTTCTAGAACCCAAGCTGTCATTCTATCTGTTATGTGGCTGTATTATTTTAACCCTCCCTAAGTATTGTGTCAGTGCATTTCCTGTATGCCTCCTTTATTTAATCAGGATTTTTATTTACTTTCAATCAAGCAAGGCACTGGGAATTGGCACAATGGAGTCTGTTAGAGAATGAACAGGGGGCAATAATTGTCTTGGGGAAGTTTCTGAAGACTTTTTGGAAGTCATATATGGGTATGGTCCTAAAAGGTGAGTAGGAGTTTACCAGGTGAATTTATTGGCAAGGGCTATCAAGAAAAAGGAGAGACCTGAAGAAAAGGAAGAAAAATGAAATTCTCTAGAACTCCACTTCTAATGTAGCTGGAAAATCCTGAGAGATACGCTGAGTAAGGAAGCTGATGCCAAGTTGTAAACTGGCATGAAACCAGGCTGAGTCCACAGCAGTCACAGAGCACCCAAAGTTAGCACAGGACTCAAAATTCAAATTTGTGATACTTAAACAGAATTTTATTTACTTTCTTAACTCTTTTGAAAAAGAATAAAGACACATTTCTAAAGAAATCTTAGAAAACTCCACGTAACAGAAATACAGGTGTTCCAGTAAATTTAGTTGTAAACATTGCCATATTTCCCCTTTTTTTGTATGTAACCTCTTATCAAGTTAGGTGAGCTTTCTACTATCAACCATTAGCTAAACCTTTCATGGTAGAGATTCATGGAAATATATGCAAAGTCCTGAAATTAGAAACATGAAATCAATTTATAGTAGTTCAGAACACCACAGTCTAGCAGCAGTTTATAAAAAAGAAAGTAAAACTGTTATTGTAGTCAAAAGTATACTTATGAGCCAGTAATGCTAGGCTGCATTCAAAGATGTAGAGAATTTCTCTTGGTAAAGAAAAGCAAAGTAGACATGTCAATGTCTTCAAATACACAAATGATTGTTTTAAAGGAAAGTATATTTTTGTAAATAATTTGGAGAGCAAAACTGGCTTCTTTTAAGGGTAAAGTTTCAGGAAGGTGATTTCTGCTTAATCAAAGAAAGCCTTTCCTATTAGACTAGTCATATGGTTCCTTTAAGAGTGGTGAAAGAGGCCAATGGAGAAAAGGAATTCTCATCCTTAGAAGTGTTCATGCTTGGCTGGATTCCAATAATGTGAAAATTTTGACTGGATGTTTTCTAAATTTCAGTCTATCTCAAAGATGTCAAGACTCATTAAAGAGTCAAATAAATTTTCTAATGAATCAAAAATGTCATACCATTAAATATGGAAAGAGCATTTCATGGATGGGAATATATATTTAATGAAAACACCGTGACAATAACAAATATAGAAAGTTTACTATTTGTGATATACACACACACATACAAATTCTATGAGGCAGTACTTTAATCCACATTTTATCAATGAGGAAAGCTAGTAAATGTTGTGGTTTGAACTCCAACCTAGATGGCCCCAACTCGAGTAAATGATCTTAAACCACAACCTGGTACTACCTACTTTTTAGATGTTGCTGCCATTTTTATCATCTTTCACATCCTCTGGTGAACACATTCACAAACACTACGTCATTTTACTATCACAAAAAGTGAGTAAGGTTGGATTAATTATGCTTATCTTGTCAACAAGGAAAATGAGTTTCAAAGAGATTATATCATAACAAGCAACAGAGCTGAGAGTAAAACTGTAGTTCTAACTGCCCATGCTTTGCCTTTTTATAGCTTATTCTGGTTGACTGAATTTTTCAAATCCAACTCAGAAATACTTATAACCCTTAAACACCTAGTCTTCTCTGCTACTGAGAGCACTTTTTCATTCAAAATCCAGAATACTAACATAATCATACAGGATGAGGTGCCAAAGGGTCACTTCTATTTATTTATAAGGATAAAAACCAATTCCTCTTTCCCAAGTTCACCCTGAATTGTCCTTTTGATGCCAATGGGGTTCATCTGGGAGTAGGCAGCTAGAAGTAGGCAGGTGACTGATTTTCAATACATATGGCTCAGTTCACACAATAGCTTCTAACGCGTGTGAGTCAGCTGAAACCTTGGAGGTCCAGGGCCAGTTTTTCTCTGTCCTTGACTCCCTAGTGCTCTTTGGAGTGATACTCCTTGAGGTATATTTTATCTGTCTAATAAAAAGCAGGTAAGGAGAAATGAGGTGTCTGAAAATACTTGAAAGTGATTGTCAGGAGTGAATATAAAAATGAATGAATTATTAATACTTATAGCTTTCCATTGTGCATCTTTTAACTAATGAGAATTTATCAATCCCCATAGATACATCTTAGAAAGGGCTTTCCACCTGTGCACAGTGGAACACTTACAGTATCCTCCTAACTTCTTTCCCTGAGTCTGGGCTCTCTTTCTCCAGGTAATCATCCGCACTGCTACTGTCATTCTTTTTTTTTTTTTTTTTTTTTTTGTGACCAGGCTGGAAGTGCAGTGGTGCCATTCTCTAGCCACTGCAAGTCCGCCTCCCGGTCCCGCCATTCGCCTCAGCCTCCGAGTAGCTGGACTACAGGCACC